GTAGTGATGGGAGGGATCATACAGACCATTACATGAAATGAAAGACTTCAGAATTCAAGAAAGGAAGCAAGGACCTTTAATAAAAAGTTTTCTTTCTGTGACTTTATCATTAATAGTCTTTATGCTGTTCCCACAATGAAAATTTCATAATAGATCCAGATTTTGATGCAGAAAGTGAACACCACCCATCCCAGATCAAAAATGGTGTCCTTTGGAATACATTAATTTCTCCCCAGCACCACTTTTTTTTTTTAATTCAATAGCCTGTCCTCTCTCATATGCATGTGGCTCACACATCTGAATGAGATACTAATTGTAGGCAAGCTGTACAAAAACTAAAGTAGCAAAAAGGTACAAAATGTATTTTCTCCCCTCTTGGATGGCCTTCAGGAAAGACAGGAGTGTAAAAGAAATTGTGCTTAAGTCCAATAGCGTATTATTTTTCTGCCTCAGCAGTAGGCAGACCGAAAGCCCTGTGCACGTGCTCTGGAGCTGCCCAGACCAGGAAGAACATAAGCCAACAGCAGCACAATGTGCTCCCTGAGGTGGCCCTCCACATCGAAAAGGACTTGCGTTTGTGTTACTGTGTCTATATTGCTGCTTCAGAACTAAAATCAGCCACAGTTGTCTGTCTCTTTCAAGAAACTGCAAAGGTATTAAAGTTGAGTTTTGGACAGACTCAGAAATTTTCATGTATTATTCAGATTTGAACATTTAAGAGGAAAGTAGACATTTATCAAACAACTGTGCTACTCTCAATACATTTCATTAAATACCCAGTGTAAATTCTATGAAACACTAACACATCACTTACCCCTTGAGCTGGTTGAAAGACTGGATAGTTTCCCCTTGTTTTCCTTTTTTATTCCATTTCCAAATGTAATAACATTGGAATTACAAATCAAGAATAATCTGTGACTTGTGGCAAGGCATCTTTCATCATCATTCACAGAGGTCTTATCCTAAAAAAGAGGCCTCAATATTTTATTAATGATTACTTTGGAAAAGACGTTTACATTTTAATTCAAAAATAATAATCTCTCTTACTAATTGCAGGGAGTTTTTGTTGGTTTGGAGGGGGGAGAGGATTTGCCCCAAGGACAGAAAAGCTTCAAATAGCTAACTACTTCTATGTGTGGCTTTTTTCTGCTTCCTTTGTATAGTGTTTGAAGGATCCCATAACTGGACCATAGCTTAGATTGTAAATTGATGAATTATGAAAATAACATTAAATATTTTCCTTTAAATATTTCACTTCCCGCAGTAGCACAGATCCAGAGACTGTGCTCAGAAATATCCCCAAAAAGGCCTGTGCAGCTCTCCAGAGCAAATCAAATATCTGTTTTGTTTCTTAAATGATCAATTTGATGTCCTGTCTTCTAATTAATGAAGATCTGCCAGCAAGCCCACAGCCAGTTCAGCCACACAAGTCTTAATAGTCATGTGTAATTACTTCAGAATTAGTTCTTTTGCTTGCATCACTTCTCTGTGTTTCATTCTTTAATCAGAACTTGACACCTGATGCCTTTCAGATTAATTCAAACTAATTTTTCATTACTGTTACTTTTAACGATGAAGATAAGGCAGAGCTGGTTCAACACCTCTCCGCAGTGGAGGCAACATTTCACTGCTTGGAGAGAAAGAAGGGGCAAGGCCATGGTAGGTAGGAGAAGGTAGGAGAGGTACGACGGGCAGGAAAGCCCTGTATCGCCAGGCTCGCTGCTCCTGCTGCTTGGGGAAACAAAAATGCCGGGGCCAGGCACATGCTGGGGCTGCACCACCACCAGCTGCAGCAGCTCTCCTTGGGCTTCAGTGCAGAGCAAGGGGTCTGCAAGGTCCTGGCCCTTCCTGCCCTGCTCAGCACCTCCCAGGCCACTGCCTTCTCCGAGGAAAGCCCAGAGCCACTTCTGAAATGCAATGTGTTATAACACGTATCCTGGCAAAACACTGCATTAACATCAAAAACCTTGTTAATTTTCGTAACAACAATTCACATACCTGCCTTGCTTTGATCTTGGCAGCATGTCGACTACTTTTATTTAAGGCGTAAATTTTGGTTTGAATTCCAGTGAAAGTGCTCCAATGAAAGTACTGTTCTTTATATTGCTGATGTGCTACACTCATTAGCTATAGCTAATCCAATTCCTAAACTGAATAAACATAATTAGTTAATATTAAGTTTTAAAACTAATCCTGACCATGCTTTCAGGAAGGTAGAAATGGTATTAGGGTTGGTCAGAATAAAATTTAAACAAAATTGGCAAAGAATAATGAGATTTCATAACATTTTCAGAATTGTTTCATTTAATTTCCAAATCACCGCAGTTGCTATCTACATGATACATATATGTGTGTACATGTGTGTGTGCAAGAGAAAGAGATACAAGGATGAAACTAAGGAAAAGAAAGCTGTGACAATACAAGCTTAACAATTCAAGAATTTTCAGCTACACGGTAGTTTGCCAAGACCATTAAAACCCACTTGTTTTTACTGTAATGCGTAAATTACTTTAATGCCGACTTCAATGTGGGCAAACTTTTAGAAGCATGCAGGAATAACGAAGGAGAACCTTTTGATCCATCCCTTCTTTAACTATATTTTAAAAACTTTCTAATGAGAAATAAATGGTCTGATTTAAAAATCAGCATCTATAACATTCTATCCAAAATTTTATAGACAGGAATGATGAGAGGCATTTGATAGGAGCCTGCATGAGTGTGTCAGGCAGAACAGCCAGCATGTAGCAAATGCAACTTCAGCCACGCGTGACCAGCAATCTGTAGCTACAGATCAGAAGCTGGGCTGATGGCCTCTCAAAACAACAGGCTACAGGTATCAAAGTAAGTTTAAAAATAGGAAAGCTATTGGAAAATAAATTTGGTTTACTGAATACTTGGAAAAATTTGGATAATATATTCAGGGCTAAACACGAAGCAAAATACCTCATCTGCTGCTTAAGAAGTAGTATTTAATTAACTATTGATTTCCACTCAGTTATTCAAGGCAAACAATGGTCAGTATTGATGGGACAGATATTTCACCATTCGCATTACCTGAACTGTAGGAAGCATCCCAGCAATGAGTAGTCTAGAACAAGCAGATTCAGTAGCTGTCCCATCAGATAAAGTATTTTGATTTTGCATATTGATATGGCTAAATATATACAATATAAAAAGTCAGCTTTAAAGATACATAGCCTCAGTTATAAGAGATTGACCTTTAAAATACAGTTCATTTTTTCGGCCTGTTACCATTACATTTTTCTGGGTTGTTAATCTCATCATATTTATTTGGCGGTGGTTTACTGTTCCTTGTACATAATATAAACGCTATTTTTTTGTAATGTATATATAGAACATTAAAATTCAGACATATGGCTGTCATCAGTAATGTGTGTTGTTTGTTGTAACTTAATATTCAAATTTTGACATTACAATTCAGAAACTGGACAAAAACGTTAAATACATAGCTCTTTGTAAAAAACTTTGATTGCTAAAGGAATCACTGAAAAAAATTATTTAACTGCTCTCTCTGAATTGCATCTATGAGTTTCTAACACACTGCATTATTATTTGGCCCACTTGGATGCAGAACATAGAAAGCAGTTGTCACAGAGTGAGAAAACGATTTTTCTGAAAGCAAGCCAGGACAGATCAGATTACCAGTAAGGTTGCTGGTGCACAAAATTGTACAGATTTCTGTAGAATTGCATCACTTAAGAACGTAGACTGTTTCAATTTTAGTTCTCATAGCATTTGGGTTGCTTTTAAAACTAAGTAAATTAACATTTATAACATTGTATATACGTTTTTAGCAATAAATAGCAATGTTTAAAGTAAAATTAACAATATTTTCCCTATCCTGAATTATTTATGGTATTTCCAGGGTAAGGTATGCATAAACAGCATCTAATGTTGAGTCTGCTTCTAGGCCAAATAATCTTTTCCGTAATTCTCTGAGGGAAAACGTTTACTGTTATGTTCTGCCTAGATAGTAGGTGCAACATGTTTACTAAAATTACCACTCTATGGAAGACAGAGTTGTAATCTAGCATATATTCTACTAGTGATATCATCTGGAATAAAACACAGATTGACAGATTTAAGTAGTATGTTCCTCATATCTCTACATATTTACCCAGTGAAATATTTCAATTGGTGTTAAGTAATACAAAGTAAAGTTGACAATTTTTCAAATACGATATTATGCAGCTCTAAAACTTTTGCCTGTGCTGTTTTCTTTTAATTCTTTTGTCAAATCTGACTTCTGAAGTTTTTATATCGGGCTATAATATCTAAGATGGTTTTAAGATGCCAGTTACCCTGTACCAAAGCAGCAAAACTAATTAAGAAGAAATACTTGATCTGTAATGGAAATAACAACATTATCTTTTATTTCCATATGTATAAACCATATAATCCCCATCAAATAGCATGCTGAATTTCCTGCCTGTGCTTGCCTTATCTTTTTTGCATATTTTTTTCTGATCATTAATACATGCAGTTCTTGACTATAAAACCCTGCCTTCTCATACAGACCTTTTTACTTCAGCAAAGGCATGTTGCATTTTTAACCACTGTTCATGCTTTCCAAAAGCTGTAGTTACATTGCCCCTTTCAAATAATAACACGCCCACCTACAGTTCCAGTTCAGTAGTAACTATAAAAACGCAGACACTGGCACAAGGCAGGTATTAACAGTCATATTACTTCATTATTACCCATATTAATTTGTTAATTAATATTATCATAGTCGGTGGTCTGAAGCAAATTATATGGTTCTCGAAGAGTGCAGCCAAAAAAAAAAAAAAAAAGAGAAAATATCAAATAAAATAAAAAACTCAAAGTTGGAGCTTTTAAAAAACCACATCCCCTGTTTACCTGTCTCAGGAAAAGGGGGGAGGTAGTGTTTTAATTCTGGTTTTAGTGTGGAGTTTCTCCTGTAGGTGAACTTCTATTCATTCTGCTTTTCTTTCCCTCCCTCCCCTGCTATCTTGCAGCAAACGTATGTGACAATGAACTACTGCACTGCCAGAACGGAGGAACGTGCATCAACAACGTGCGGTGCCAGTGCCCTCCGGCTTACACTGGCATTTTGTGCGAGAAGTTGAAGTGTGAAAGGGATCCGGCAGGCTGCAGCCAAAACTCCGGCCAGGGGGCAACATCACAGGCACCTCTGTTACTGCTGACTGCTCTGCTAGGAGCAGCCGGACTCTGCATACGCTAGACTCCGTACGGCTGATGGCATCACATTCAGACTGCTTCAAGTGAGCGTGCCACATGAAAACAAAACAAGATCTGAGCGTTTGCTACTGAAATTTAAAAAGGAAAAAAAGAAAAAATAACCACATACAAACTAAGAAGGCCTAACTGAACTAAGCCATATCAATCGGTTACGGACAGGGCTCTGAGTCAAGACTGTTCACCTCTGACTCGAGACAAGTCGGCAGCTGCCTGTTGTGTCAAACCAGTGCTAGCTGCAGAGCTGACACAGGACTGAGACGGCTTTGGCAGCCCCCAGGATGGGGAGAGAATTAAAAAAAAACATTTGCTACTCCTATATGGTGCGCTACTGTACCTCCGCCCGGTGTGTGGACCGACCAAATAAAGGCATTCTTTGCTGTCAGTGCATTGTGGGTATAAGGAAATCTGTAAAAGCTGCCATATTGGCCTGCTTCAGTCCCCAACTCCTTTCCAACCTGTGCTTTAGTGAACGTTGCTCTGTAACCCTTGTTGGTTGAAAGATTTCTTTGTCTGATGTTAGTGATGCACATGTGTAACAGCCCCCTCGATAAAACTCAAGCCAGTCATATCCTTGTATACCTTAGCAGCACTGCATCAGTGAGATGCTGTGTTCACCTACTGTACAAGAGTGGCTATAGGACAAAAAGTGTATTTATCCTTTTGTATTCAAATGAAGTTATTTTTCTTGAAATAATGTACAATGTAGATTTTTTGTATTATTGCCTATTTGTGTTACCAGACAATTTGTTAATGTATTTAATTCTAATCAGATAAGAGAAAAATATTACTTTTTATTTAGTCCTTTTCTTTTTCCTTTCATTTAATTGTGCAGAGATTTCTCTGTATGGGCAACGTGCTGGCATCAAAGAATATCAGTTTACATATATAACAAGTGTAATAAGATTCCACCAAAGGACATTCTAAATGTTTTCTTGTTGCTTTAACACTGGAAGATTTCAAAGAATAAAAATTCCTGCATAAACAGTTCCAGGATGAGAGAGTGGTATTTCTTAAGGCCTTCTTAGAAAACAAAAACCAACCAACCAAACAAACAAAAAATTTGGTCATTTTACCACCTAGTATGTGGAAGAAAACCAGATTCAACAGTGGAAATTACATCAGAACAATCTAACCGGGTTTTATTTTTACTACTGACATTATTTTTGCAAACAATTTTAAATGTAAAGGGCATCATTTGCTTGAGGAAGATTTCATCAAATCGCAAGCTTGGAAGAGGTATAAAAACTTGAACAGTTCTCATCTTTGTTCTCTCGGTTCATCACAGAAATTATTCCAAGACTAATTTACAAGGTATTACAGAAGCTAGTCTTTAATTCATACCATTTTTGTGGATTCTGGCAGTAATGAAGTAGATATAGCCACAGCTTATATTGTTTCTCCAAAAGCTTCATTAAAATGATATGTTTATATATGTACTAGTCTGCCTAAGAAACTGCAAAAACAGCAGCAATCACAAAAAAGCCAAGATTTAACTTTTAATAAAGTCAAATTTAATATTTAGAAGGAATGTCAAAATATACAGCAGCGAGTAGATAAAAAGTGCTGCTCCAGCAAATAAAGTTTGTTTCAAGTATTGCCCAAGGTGTAATAAATTCTTCTTTCTGCCTTTTATTAGGCCAATTACTGAGTGTGACAGAAAAGGATAGCAAGAATAGAGAGGCAAGCCAAAACCATAGCAGTGTTTCAAAGTCCGGGGGGGGGGGGCAGGAATCAAAAGGTAGCAAGACAGTGTGAATTCATTTCCTGGCAATTTTCATCATAATGGCTGTAAATATTTTACCAACATAATAGCCTCGTATGGAAAACAATTAATCAGCAAAAGAAAAATTCCTGAGAGAAATAAATTCTACCTGAATGCCTCTTCTAAGTGGTGAACAGAGCAGAATTTAGGGCACTGCCTTCTTGGCTAAGCTCTTTCCTCTGAGGGAACAAGTTTTGCAGGCCAGTACCCAGCCTCCAGAAACGGGTAGGCAAATCAGGTCTTCATTTCTAAAAAAATCCTGTGCAGATGATGATGAAGACAACAAGCTAGTGCTCATTCAGGCTGTCGCCTTGGCCCTTGACGTAGAACGTTTGCTATTCACACTGCCACTCTCTTTTGGTGGGCTAAATAAGATAAGGCAACAATAAATTAAGAGCTTGGCTGGTTGCCAGCCGTGGACTACATGAGATTGCACGTACATGTTAGAAAGACATTCACAACAATAAACAGAAAATTATATTGCAGACTCAATGAGGAATGTGAATGCTAATACAGGTGACATGCAGAGCCGGAGATTACCTATAATTAAGTGGATTTCTGATATTAAAATGTGGAATTTCAGTTTTCTCAAAGCTTATTAGCACAGACCAAATTCAGATTGTGTAATTATTGGAAAGGATGCACGTTAATTGTCATTATAAACTCAAGGCTTTGTGAAAGTGCTAAGAAAGCATGTTATGCACGTTTGGTTAGAAGGGATTCTGCCAGCAGTGCTGAAGTATAATGAATATCAGATCGCAATCAATTCAGCTGCATCCCAATTTCATATACTTATGATCTTCTAAACCAGTGCAGAGTATATGGCTTTCCACATATTTAGCTACCATTTCATGCAATTTATCCTCCCTCACCTATTAATAAAATCGCAATTTTGTACAGGAGTACACCCAGTGGAAAGTTTTCTTATCAATCATCCTTTTCTTCAGCTTCATTATTTTTTCTTCTAAACTTCACAGAACTTCACTAATTGAAAATTTCAAAAATAAGTTTCTGCTACTGTCTTCCAAGTGTATCTGTAAAATTATGTGTGCATATTTGAGAGAGGAGGAGATTTACATCTCTTAGCATCGCTTTACCTGCTTTTTTAATTCAGTGGAAAATGAAGGCAGAGCCTATTCCCCATTTCAGAAGCTGTAAAGAACAACAGAATCCTTTTCCTGAAGATATGGTAGAAACTTCCCATGATAACGTGTAGTTGCAGAATCTGCTTTATTTTTCACCTGAAAATTTATACCCCTTCCAGCCTATTCTAGGTTTCTTGAAGTGGGTATCCTGTCCCTGTGAATTCCTGTAAAATAGCAAACACACACAATACTGAAAAAAATAACAAGAGCAACACGATCACTAACCTCGGGTTTTGGTTCTGTATCAAAACGCAGCAAAAGGAACTTACTGCAGGATTATTGTTTCCTATATGATATTTCTTTCCTGGAAGGTTTAGCCTCCAAGAACTGACCAGGCTTCCCGTTGCTTAGCTGTCCAGGTTATAGTTCAGAGTACAATGACCTTAAACCTAGCATTCATAATTAAATTTATGCAGTTTTATCAGTTCCAGTTGCTTTGCTAAATCAGTCAGTCCTAGTCAGCTTGCAATTCTGGTGTTTCTAACTAGAGAATTGGTTCTGATCCAGCATCCACATGTGTTTAACATCTGAAAAGAGGGCAATTTATGACATGGTGCTGCTCCCTAACAAAGGGGCCACAGAAATTTCCACTGCAAGCTAACCATCTTTCTCAAAGGGACAGTAAGGGAAAGGCATCTTAGTGCTGCATAACTGTTTCAAAAACAAACTATCCAATGGAAAAAAAATCTAGTCAGACGCAAATTGACCCCGATATTGCCCTCAAATGAAAATTGATCTAATACTTTATCATGACTGAGCCACAGGTAAGAAGTTATTTCACGTGGGGAACAGAACAAAAAAATAATGTGCAAAAGACTCCTCAAATTTTGAAAGAGCTCTTCTGCTTGCGTATCATTTCATACATCTTTCTCATAACTCCAAGATGCCAGAGGGATTTGTTATAGCCTCATTGGGATTCTAGGTTCATTAAACCATTGAATTAACTAGATTCATCCATGCATGCAGTTTATTCACCTGTGAGAAATTTGAGTAATATTTTTCATAGAATACTCAAGACCAGATTTTCAGCCAACCTCCAGCCCAGCCTTCATGTTTGTCCTTGCAAATGCAAAGTTACAGATGTAAATATTAAGATGTAGTCAATCATTCATTCCTAAGAAAAACTGTAACTTTAATTATTTATGGATGCAAACATTTATCCACCACAACGCAGATCTAGCATTATAAATCAGAAATTTTACATTAACCAATTTAATACCTTTCCCATCATCATACAGTATCAGAAAGGGGAGGATGTAAGAAGTGCATGCAAAACAAGCAAGCAGAACAGCAGCATTTTGCACCATATGGTGCATTTCATTTAGTGAAATGAAAGTTCATCAGCAGTACAGTATGTTCACCAAGACACCATTTTTGCCACAATATGCAACAGATAAAATTGCAGTAAAAAGTGTATGTTCCCCTTCATTGTTTTTCTGGCCATCATTATCTATACAGACCCAAACATACACACGATGAAAGACTGCTCAAGAAACCTTACAGCCTCAAAGAGCACAGAGAAGACTAATGTTATGCAATCTGTAGAACTAAACAGATTGTAAAGGCTTCGGGGTTGAATTCCTGCATGCATTGCCAGCAAATACTCATTTCTGAGAAGGACCGGGAGAAAGATCACACCATGGAAGTGCACTGAACCCGAGTTTCGTGACAGCCTAGTTACAGAAAGCACAACAGCGCTGGGTTAGTCCTGCATCTGTCAGCAGCGACAACTGCATCTCACCCTGGGACGTACCCAGGCAGCATTCTCCCATCAAAACACTGGTGTGCACGTTCCAGTGACGGTCGCTAAGACACCTGCTACTTACACAATGCTGCTCAATGGAGGTGCGGTACACATGTTCAAGTTTACTGTTGTCACTGGAAAGACAATTTTTGTACTAGACATGAACCACTGAGAACTGGAAGTAATAAGTGTATTCTGGGAAAGGAGGGTGAGGAGTGGGGTTTGGGGCTATTGCTTGTTTTGAGAAAATGAGATTGGGTTTGGAAGAGCATTTTCTGTTTCTCACATAGCATCATTTTCACTGAAGTATTCTGTGCAGGTCGTTACGACAT